AGAACAAGGTGCAGAAGATCAAAGAGAAAATGGCAATGATATTGAAGAGGATGTTGGTGATGAGGAGGAGGTTGATGGAGGTGATGAAGCTGAAGGAGATGGAGATGATGAAGATGGCGAGGAAGAGCAAGAAGGACGGAGGAGATATGATTTAAGGGAACGTTCAGAGGTTCGTAGACCATCCCCTCGTAAGGAAGGAAAGCACAGACCGCAATCTCCTCGTAGAGTACTAGTTCACGGAATTGGTCCAAAGAACAGCAAGTATTTAAAAAAAGGTGGGTCGCGCATGCATAAGCGCCCACGTTTCTCTTTGCCAGATGATTCAGATGATTCCCTTCTTGTGGATGAGCCGGACGAGGGTCCATCCATGCCATGGATGCGCAGTGGGAGGGGAGGTATGCCATGGTTGATGGGTGGGTTGGACATGCATAGTCCAGCAGCATGGGGCCTGAGTGTTGGAGCATCTGGTTGGGGTCATCAGGGCGACACTTCTACTTCACTCATGCCTGGGGTGCAAACTGCTGGACCAAGTTCTAAGGGAGGAGCTGACATTCAGCCTCTGCAGGTTGACGAGAATGTGAGCTTTAAAGATATAGGTGGACTATCGGAGTATATTGATGCTCTAAAGGAAATGGTTTTCTTCCCATTGCTGTATCCAGATTTTTTTGCAAACTATCACATCACTCCTCCTAGAGGTGTTCTGCTTTGTGGCCCGCCGGGCACAGGAAAAACATTGATTGCCCGCGCCTTAGCTTGTGCTGTCTCTAAAGCTGGCCAGAAGGTCAGTTTTTACATGCGCAAAGGAGCTGATGTTCTTAGCAAATGGGTGGGAGAGGCTGAAAGGCAGCTAAAGTTACTTTTTGAGGAAGCTCAAAAGAATCAGCCGTCAATTATATTTTTTGATGAAATAGATGGCCTGGCACCTGTGAGGTCTAGCAAGCAAGAGCAGATTCACAATTCAATTGTTTCAACACTGCTTGCTTTGATGGATGGCCTTGATTCACGTGGGCAAGTTGTTTTGATTGGAGCAACTAACAGAATTGATGCCATTGATGGAGCATTGCGTAGACCTGGCCGATTTGACCGTGAGTTTTATTTTCCTTTACCTGGCTATGAGGCTCGAGCAGAAATACTGGATATCCATACAAGGAAATGGAAGGATCCTCCACTGAAGGAACTAAAGATGGAACTTGCTGCTAGCTGTGTTGGCTATTGTGGAGCTGATTTGAAGGCATTATGTACAGAAGCAGCTATTAGAGCATTTAGAGAGAAGTATCCTCAGGTCTACACTAGTGACGACAAGTTTGTCATTGATGTTGATTCGGTCAGCGTCGAGAAGTACCACTTTTTGGAAGCTATGTCTACAATAACTCCTGCTGCGCACAGGGGATCTATTGTGCATTCAAGGCCACTTTCAACGGTTATCGCTCCATGTCTGAAGAGGCATCTTGAGAAAATAATGGAACAAATTTCTGATATTTTCCCTTTCCTTTCATCCATAGATTTTAACAAGTTCTCCGCTCTTTCCTATGGATCTTCCATCCCCCTTGTTTATAGACCTCGCCTTTTGATATGTGGTGGTGAAAGTGTTGGACTGGTAGGGCTGTTCCTCTCAATAAATAGATAGTATCATATTAAGTGCTTTTCCTTTTCACTTCTGATGTGTTTTTGGCTTAGCAGGATCATGTGGGACCAGCTGTTTTACATGAGCTTGAGAAGTTCTCTGTTCACTCCTTGGGACTGCCATCTCTTCTCTCTGATCCAAGTGCAAAGACACCTGAAGAAGCTCTTGTGCATATTTTTGGGGAAGCCAAGAGAACAACCCCATCCATTCTGTACTTGCCTCAGTTCCATCTTTGGTGGGATACGGTTAGTACTTAGTAGACTCTAGACATGCTGTTTTAGTTATTCAAAGTCAGCTTTGACATGATTCTGACAATGTTTAATAGTGATCATTTAGTTAAGTACTTCTTTCTTTATGTTACAGGCACACGAACAACTCAGGGCCGTGTTATTGACTCTGTTGAATGAGTTGCCCTCTAACCTTCCAGTTTTATTGCTTGGAACATCATCAGTGGCTTTCACTGACCTCGAAGAAGAGTGTGCTTCCATATTCTCTTCTCGCAATGTGTATGTTCCTTGCCAAATGTTTTTCTACTTTTCCTGGGTTGTGTTGGTTTGCCCTTACGATGTAAGCTAGATATAAAGTGATCATTGCTTACCTATTACTTAGATGGATTAATTCTCCATTATGTACTATTTCTTTGTTACTGATCTTTTATTATTAGTCTGTACTCTTGACTCTTGATCTCTGTAAATGGTATTGCTCATTAATTTTTTTAAAGCAATCTGCTTTGGCCTAGCCTAGGCACTAAATATGCTGTAATGGTAGGCACATAATTGAGGAAACAGTTTGTTTCCTGTTCATTGACTTTTGGACTTTAGTTCTTTGTATGTCACCTGCTTCATGTCATGTTCACTGAATTTCCTCCTATCTTATCTTTCACCAAGGAAATAAAATCTTTGTGTGATATAGGTATCAAGTCGATCATCCAAGTTATGACGATAGATTGAGATACTTCAGTATATTGTTTGAGTCATTGCTCTCTTTCCAAACGGAGGAATCAAGAAACAAGTCAAAGAAACAGAAGTCTGCTATTGATCTTCCCAAAGCCCCAAAAGAAGTGGAGGGCCCTAAGGTTTCTGAGCTAAAGGCTAAGGCAGAAGCTGAGCAGCATGCTGTTCGTCGAATGAGGATGTGTCTCCGAGATATCTGTAACCGGTCTGCAGCTTACTCTAATTATAGAAGCAGTTAGTTGTGATATTTCAAAATCATAAAATCTACCTTCTTAACTTTGGTTTGAAACACAAGTGCTTCTGTTGGTAGCTTTTTATTTTTGTTTTTCCTTTATCTCTTGCAATCTCATCAGTATTGTTCAGTTGGCTTTTGAAACCTGATAGAGCTAATAGTGTGACTGCTTATCTTTTCAGCATTTTGTTCAACAAAAGGTTCAATGTATTTCACTTCCCGGTATCAGAAGAGGAGGTGCCTGACTATCGATCAATAATCCAAAAGCCCATGGATATGGCTACTGTCTTGCAGCGGGTGGACTCTGGACAGTACCTTACCAGGGCAGCATTTATGAAGGATATTGATCTTATTGTCTCAAATGCAAAGGTACATCTTTTGGTGAACTTAGTTTCTTGATTCATGTTTGCATATGTTCTGGCCCTACAGTTCATTACAATTCAGTGGTGAGAGTTGTGAGGATGACTGCTTAAATAATGCCAAACTTCCCCTTCTGTGACCTATACAGACTTACAATGGGGATGACTACAATGGATCTAGGATCGTCAGTAGAGCATGTGAACTCAGAGATGTGGTATCTTGTTTGTTCTCACTTTCTCCTACATTGGGTTGTCGACAATGCCTCTACAGATTATCATTGTTATGTCTAATGAGCCTCTTTTTGGCCAGGCCCAAGGTATGTTGTCACAGATGGACCCATCTTTGGTGTCCTTTTGTGATAAAATTGCTTTACAGGGTGGGCCACAGCAGGTTGTGGATGATGAAGATAGCTCTATTCTTCAAGCAGCGCCTGTTGCTCAGCTGGTTTCTGGTACTAGATTAAGTGCAAGGCTTCGCAATGTACAGCCCGAAGTAAACCTGTCACAAAGTTATGAAGTGCTAAAGCGGCAAAAGAAAAGTGCTGAAAATGAACAGAGTCAGTTTTCACGATCTTAACTATAACCATTGCATTTGCTTGTTAACTGTGATTGCAATAATTATGGAAAATGTTGATGTGTTGTTTCAGGCATGACCAAAGATGTGGCAGCTAGAGATGAAAAGTCTCCTGAAGATGTAGATTTGTCAAAGCCAACTGACCCAGAAGATGCTGCAAAAGAACTAGAGTCAAATGGCACAACGAAAGAAGCCAACAATTCACCAGCAGAAGAACCAGAAGTACCTACTCCTGAACCCATGGAGTCTGACAATGGTCAAGTCGCCACTACCGTGGCTACTGGTGACGACTTGCTAGGACAGCTAGAAGCCCTAAAGCAACGCTTCATGGAACTCACTGCAAGCTACGGCGTGCCGCAGCTGGAGAGGCTGTATTCCCGGATAATGAAAGGAGCAATAGAGTTGACAAGTAAAGAAAGGAACGAGGATCATAGACGGTTAGTAGTTAGGTATTTGTTGACATTCGTTGAGAACAGCAACAATTTTTAACTCTGGCGCGCAATAAGATTCTTGTTTTTCCTTGTACATCCTCTTCGGAACGAAAGAATAGTAGTGGTTCATCTGGGGAGCTATCCCCCTTGTAACAAATCTGCCAAATGCTCAAGTGTCAGTGACACAGTTTTGCCATGAATGATGTAGCAAGTGCACCCTTTGTAGATTTGTCATGTACATTCCTCAGCGTTTGTTGTACCTCAGCTTGATGAATTTATGAGGTGGAATTCTCTATTCATACATAACATGTGGTTACTATACTTGCTATCGTAGTTTTCTCATTGCGCTTTCTCTTCGTAGTGGTAGTTTTGGTATCTGATGCAAGGTACTGCTTTCTGTAAGAAATTGGAAACTTCAACTGACGTAGAAGCTCACTCCTAGATCCGTACGTGGAATGCTTTGCCTACACGGTTTGCTCCTCTACTACAGTCGATGCTCATCACTCGCAGCGCAGACACCTTAGAAATCAGAGTTTGCACCGACACCAAGACAAAGGGAACCTACCTGTTTAGCATTTCAAGTTTTCAACATAGCACAATCAACACAACAGCATCTCAGAACGCAACCGCACAATCCATTTTTTCACATTCACAACAAGTGACCAAACGTTGGAATTAAACTCGCTGAACCATAAGCATGTCATACAAGCAAATGCAGAGTTCCAGTGATGTTCAGAACAAACGTTCACAAGGGCTTTGATTTCAGCAGCACAGATTGTTTTCCCCTAAGTTCATGGCATGATACGCGGTGTGCGCGGAGCATAAATCTACCATGATCCCACAGCGCCCTGGGCTGGGTTTTCAAAGTGAGTGAAGCCCCAGTAGGTCTTCAAGGAGTATGGCGGGTAGATGGTTGATCCTTCAGTTGTGATCTTGGCAATCTGTAATTCAACTACAGGTTAGATCAATCTGTAACCATAAAATGAACTTTTGTTGAATGTTTACAGGTTAGAGCAATCTGTAACCAAGATCAATAGGTTCATACCTGGAATTTGTTGATAGATGACCTGTCACGGTACAGCAAGACCAGCAAGCACTTCTCAACCAGCTTAACAGCTTCTTCAAAAGTCATATCCTCGTGCCATTCAGCTCGAAGTATTGGGATCGCCAGATGATTTCCAAATCCAGTAGCGACATGGTTTTCCTCAAAGTGGGTACCAATCATGTTAACCTGCACAGGTCAAGAATTAGGCATAGGATGTTGACAAAACAACACCAACGAATAAGTGGTACTATCATTTGAAAGAAGACCCTACCATGCCAAGATACTTCTCATCACCCTTTGGACCCTTTTTCACTCCACCAATTACAAGTGAGTTCCAGAGAGGATCAAACTTGTTGCGTCTGTTGTACATCACTCTTGTCAAATAATTGTGGATCTCTTTGGGGCCCAGAGAGTTTCCATCATCCCACATATGATCAGACAGACTGAAAAGAAAGAGAAAAATGAAGAGTTTAAAATTTCCATAGCATTAGAAAGAGAAACATGAGTTCACCATATAATAATCATTATGAAGTTCCATATTCACTTGTTAGTGATGGAACTTACGTTAGTTCATCCAGATAGCGCAGGATCTCCTGGAAATCGCTGTACTCTCCGCTTGCTCCAATGATGCTATGCTTGCCAACTGCCTTAATGCGTTCCACACTCTTGTATCTCAAAGTTGATCCATAGGAGGCTGCAAAGAGAACATAAGATTAAGTTCCCCATCGAGATAATGGTATTTCTCTGTGCAGAGGAACTGGGACCAACCTCCAGTGTCACATGCCATGATCACACCATCCTTGTATTTCAAGGCAATGACTGAAGTACCAGTCACATATGGATACCTGTTGTTGTGAGACAATGGCAGGAGTAAATCATGTGAATCAATAAACTTATCAAAACTGAAAGCATCATAATATAATAATAGAACTATAGATGAGCTGAACAGAAGTGCCACACTACAAGAAGCTTGGAAACTACAGCCATTCTGAAAAAAATCAAGCAAACAATTCCATATTGCCTTAACAGAGAGGGCAATGGAAACATAGACAAAGACTACACTCCGAACATAGCATACTGTAAAAATCCAGTTGTACACTTTCCACAAAAGCATACAGACCATGAGATGACACTCCGAACATAGCATACAGTTCAATTCTAATATAAATGATGCCATTGTATCATAACAATAGCTCTTATTTGCCAATTCATATGTTGGATCAATAACTGGAGACACGAAAAGGGGGGAAAACTAATGCTCACACACTTAAAACCCCTCGGGTCTTCCAATTCTATTCTATTCCGACCTATTTCGTAGGTAATGTTAAATGTCACTACTCAACCATATGCACAATAACGAGTAATCCCCACAAGCAAATCAACATCGAAGCATCCTCGCGGACAACTATGAACATCTCAATGCCGAGTTCCGAACAGCGCTATGAATCATTAACCCTAATCCGCAACAGCCCATAGCGGTCCCAATGAACAAAAGCCTATTTTTCCCAACAAGATGTCATCGGGGGGAAACCAAACCGATGGAAGATGAAAATTTCGCCTTCCGTATTAAATCACCCTAATCGACAAATAGTCCACCGCAAAATTTTCTCAAATCTTCGCCCAAAGAAGGGGGCAAAGAAACGCAGAGTTCCGATCTGAACCGCGACCGAAAGCACCGAAATCTTCACCCCGAAGGAGGGGGGCAAAGTAACGCGAAGTCGCGATCTGAACTACGAACGCGAGCACCGAACATAGGCCGACAGACTTACTGCGTCCGCTGCGTCGCGCCGCCTCCTGCCGCCGCCTGGCTCCCGCCCGCGGGGTGGGATCCCGCCGGAACGTTAGGGCCGCCGCCGCCGATGCTCTTGGCGAAGCCGTCCATGACGCTGAGCACCGGAGGTATTCGAGATGGGAGACGGTGGCGTGCGTCGGTCGGTGCGTGGGCTAACCGCGCTCGGGTTGCGAGAGGCGCCGAGCTGAGAACAAAGGGAGCAGCAACGGCGGCGGCGTGGTGTTAAGAGAGGTGACCCTTTTTCTTTCTTGCAACCGAAGCCGAAGAGGAGAGCGCCCCGAAAACGGGGATTATTAACTTTTTATCGTTATACCGATCGGCACCTCTCCTCAGGCTAACGGTTGTCACTGTATTTTTACCGGTAGACAGAGAAAACTAATACAAATTTATCATAGTTGCTCGTGTGGCATGCTAACCACGCAAGCCAGCGTGGATCCAAGTTCGTGAGTCACGTAAAATGTTCCTCTTGCCCTCGTCCTACTCAGTTTGTCTCTCGCCTGCAAGGAAAAGGGAAACGGAGGGAGCAGGGTCACTGAGCTAGGTGCTCGACAAAGAGCCTGCTTAGGCGCGCCGAGTGTGGGGCCTGGCTAAGCACGTCGGACTACGGTAGGAGGAGGCCGTGATGACAAGGTAGGCCTAGGGTTGGTGCATGTGAACTCGTCGGCGACCGAAACGCGCTGCACGCGCCTGGCATTCGGTGGACGTCGGTTCATGGCGAGGCACGAAGGGACGGTGTTCCGAGCGGTGCGGCACCCTCACGTGTGCTGCTGATGTGTTGGCGAGCGGTGGGGGTGTGGCGGTGTTTGGGCGGTGCAGGACAGGGGCCAGCCGCGGCCGTACTGTGCGTGTGCGCACTCGCGTGCAAGAGCGTCGTCACGACGGCGGACGTCGAGAGTGAGCGCGGACTCGGCCTACGCCGGTTGGTGTGGAGGTGTGCCGGTGCTCTGTTGTAACACCCTCGGTGTTACACTGTAAATTATTTACTAAAACATGTCATGAGTATCATGTTTATGTGTTAATGCATGTAATAAAGTGTGTAGATCAATTTCTGTAACTCGAAACGATCAACTAGAATGCGAAACGAAAGTTAATTCAATAGTCATGTTATGTTACTTAAGGTTGAAAACCAATTTTTATTAAGCAAAAATGCTATGAAACATGTATGTGACACTCAAAGAAAGTTGAAAGTACAAACTTTATAGATGGCAATAAAATACTTGTTGTTGAAAAATATTATTATTAGATAGTATTTCTAATAGCTTAGAAATGGACCTTGGACTAAAATTCAGCCCAAGACTTAGCAAATTTTCAAAGTTGAAAGCGGTGTGACAATGCTATATTAGTGAATTAATTCTGAAAAACTTAGCTAAAGTCTTGTGCTATATTTTTGTTTGGTGGGTTGCATCCAAGTAAGTACTTGTCAATGGTATAGGAGTTGGTTTAGTTAGTATGTGCTTTGATCATCAATTAATTGCTACAAAAGCTAGAAAATGTTGTTTGGGCGTCGGTTGACAACATCCACTTTGCATGCTCATATTTTCTTTTCTAGTCTACCTTGGTCCAAGTACATTGCTCCATTCAGTAGCCCTAGGTACCATCTTTAGCTCGGCTGAGTTGGTTGGGTCATGACCGAGCTAGATGGGTCATGGTTAACGCTTTAAAAAGCGTGCACAGTGTGTTTTGGGCCGGTTAGCCAAGTGTGCGTGGTCACTCACAGCTTGGGCGCCAGCCACACCCCGATGATCGCGCTACCGCACGCACTGGTGGTGCCGCCGCCGGTGCATCGTGGTCGCACACGCCGCCTCGCTATTGCGCTACCTCGCTTTACTTGCCACGGTAAGTCTTTGTCATCATCGTGTCACCGCCGCAGCCGCGACACCGCCTTTCACCGCCCCCTTTGCCGTCTCTGTCCGTGACTTCGTCATCGTGTCTCCGCATGGCTTCACGGTTTTCCATTATCGCTACCGATGCCAGGACGCGTTGCTGTTGCCGCTTGCCACCGCGTGCACGTGGGGTGCCACAGTCGCGCTCGCGCCGTCGCCTCGCCTTAATGGCGCTATGGCCGCGTAGGCTACTCCCACCTGCCCTCCCCGCTCGTGCACGTGGTCTAGCCGTGTGTCGCGTAGTTTGGTCGTAGGCGCAGACGCATGTTCGGTCGGCCGCTTGCCACCAAGGCTAACCGAGCAGTGCCCTATCACATCTATCTCTCCCTCTTCCTCTGTTCTCGCCGCCGGGTCGTGCCCATGAGTGTGCCAGTGGTGCGGTCACCTCATCAATCATTGGCGCCTGTAGCTTTGCCCTTTCGTCTTCTCACCGCCCGACCCAACACAGCCTTAATGGCGGCCCAGCCAAGCACCAATTTTGGCGTCTCCCACCAGCGAGCCATTAAAGCCGCGCCTCGGCCATGACCGAGGGTAGACTTCGATTCCCCGCCCTAAGCCCAATTGCTTGCGCCATTGCACTCGGACGACCCTCCTTCTCACATGCGCATCTAAGCCTTACCTTTACTGCCACCCTCATGGCGTTGATGCGGCCGCGCCACCGTAGTCCGCCGCCAGGCTTGCCTTGCGCACGTGGCCAGACGCCCCCGATCCGTCCCCGGCCAAGCCACCACCACGGGTAGCTACGGGGTGAGTTGCTGATTCTCACCCATTGTTTCTATCACCTCTGTTGTGCCGAGGCTCGCTAGAACGCGGCTACCGCCACCGCAGGGTGTCCGTCGCGCGGAGAGAGCACCAGGACACGTCCCCGCCCATTCTACCTTAGCCCAACGACTCACTTCAACGCCTAACTGAGCGTCGACCTCTTATTTTGGGCAAGGAAGGTCCCGGGTGGTCGGCGGGCGCGCCAATTCCACCACCGCCGTGTTGGTGCTCGCGGGGATGACCGGGGGACCTAGCCGATGCAAAGAGGGAAGAGTGAAAGGGCCTTGTTGTAAAGTTTCTCTCTCTAGGAATAGTCATGTGGAGTGCGAATTGATTTGCCGGTAGCTCAAGGGTGTTTTTGCAAGAGTACCAGCGCGCGTGGGCTTCCCCACCGCGGGCCGCCTCACGCATGGGCTTGTTTCGCGTTTGCCGCGCCTACGGGTCGCGCGTGCGCGCGCTACGCGCGTGTGGGCCGCACAGATGGGCCGCGTGAGAAGTGGTTTTTCTTTTTCCTGCAAATTAGCAAATGTTTTTCTAATTTAGTTTTGAGCTGATCTTTGGAAAATTATAGCAAATTCGATAGATGTCCAAAAATTGTGAAACCAATTTTGTTAGGTTTCTAAAATTATGCTCTATCTGTTAGTGTATTTAGTTCATATATATATATATATTTGTTGATACCAGCGGCTATTAAATCATTTATGAGTGTTTAGTATTATTTAGATTAGTATTTGTAGGAATTTTTTTGGCAAATTGATAATAGCTTTGACCATGAAATTTTTACAGTAGATTCATTGTATTATTATGTGTTCACTGTAATTTTTGTAGCCTTAGAATAGGTTGAGAAATATGGTAGCTAAGTACTCCTAGTTGTAGAATATAGGAAATCATTAATAAGAGTAAGAATATATTTTAGTTGCTAAGTAGCACTTGTAGGTGAAACCCTGTTGGTTTGATGGGAATGATGATTAGCTCGGTATCTTAGTCAGTAAAGCTAGCTTAGTTGCTAAGTTGTGGTAGAACCTCCGAAATAACGCACTTATGAAGACGCCTGTCTTCTGCTAGACACTAAGCACCCCGAGAGCGAGCTACATCGGGCGGATTCCGTCGAGCGCACCCCAAGGGAAGAGCCCGAATAATCCACATTTTCCCAAGGATCTAATAATGAGAACGAGTTACAATACTTAGTCCATTTCATACATCCAGAGTTTTTAGAAATATTATAACAGAACCAAATTCAAAGTGCGAAATATTAAACAAATGAAATAAAAATAAATATCTATCGCTAATAAACAAGGATCCGTCTGTGCCCACCAGAAGAATCCTTCACACAACAGCTACTCCTCAGGCTGACACCTACAACAGGGATAAATAAACCCTGAGTACACAATGTACTCGCAAGACTTATCCGACTAGTGGGAATAATTTTCCGACTTCAAGGAATATGATAAGCTTTTTAGTTTGTTGGTTTTTTTTAGAAAGCAATACTAATAGTGAATCCTTATTTATGTTATTATTAGCAGCCATGATTAATTCATTATCTAGCCATTCTATGTAAGCAATTGTTCTACTTTCAAGCAAGAGTTGAGCAAACAGTTCTAGTTTATTGGGTTCCTACAAAAATTTCATGGCTAAAGCTATCATCAATTTACCATAAAAATTCGTACAAATATTAAGCTAAATAATACTAAGCTTTCCAAATTGAATTTATGAATCTATCATTATCATAGATAATTGTAAACTAACTACACCAACAGATAGACAACATTTTTGTGAACCTAACAAATTTTGTTTCACTATTTTTGAACATCTACAGAATTTACTATAATTTTTTAAAGATCAACTCAAAACTAAATTGAATGAACATTCCCTAATTCCCTGGAAAAATGAAAACCTAAATCCAACCGCGTGGCCCACGAGCGAACAGCGCGGCCCACTCCCACACATCGTGCGCGCGCACGCGACCCACCGGCGTGGCCCACGCGGGCGCAGCCCAAACGCGCGACGACGACCCACGACGGGAGGCCCGCGCGTGTCGGTGCACTTGCTAAAATGTCCTCGTGCTAATACCGAATCCAACAGAGGTCCATAGCACTATTCCTTTAGTTATCTATCTTACAAATACGCCCCTCCCCCTTTCCTTCTTTACCACTGATGGGTCCTCGGGCACCGGCGCGTGCACCGACACGGCGGTGCTGGCACAGGGCGGTCACGCCGGCCAGCCTAGCCCCTCCCCGCCCCCGATAGCGAGCCGATGCTCACCTTGATGCGAATGCGAGGTGATGGGTGGTGAAGTGGTGAATAGAGACGGGTCCCGATCTCCCTCCATGGTGATGGGCCTCCTGTAGGGGCGGTGACCACATTCCCGTGAGCTCAGGCACAATCGAGACTAAAGGACTAGAGGATGGGCATCAACAACTCACCTAGAACCTACCAGACATGATG